CGACTTAACATATATGTAATGAAAAGCTCGGGTAACAACTAGTCACCGATAACAATCAACTTAACATATATGTGGCACGGCCGCTCGCTCTGCGTCTCCATTCCTCTTCTCTCCTTTACCATCTTTCTTCTTTCTTCTTATTATTCTTTTTTCTCTTTCATTACTCTTCACTTCTTCGTGCATACCTTCTCTCCTACTCGTCTTCCTCTTCTGCTCTTCTTCTTCTTCTACTTCTTCTTCTTCTCCTCTTCTCTTCATTCTTCTTCTTCTCTTCTTCTTCTTCTTCTTCCTGGGATCACACACGTTCCTCTTCTCACGCACGCGTGGGCACGATACAGCGTTCCCTCCTCAGGCACGGCTGGGACGCAAACACACGTTCTTCTCCCAGTGGGAAAGTCCTTTCCACGCCCGGCTGGGACGACACACGTCCATTTGCTCACGCACGGTGGGACGACACCGTCCTCTCTCACGCACGGCTTGGGACGACAACCACGTATTGTCCTCTCTCACGCACGGGCTGACGGACGACAGCCACGTCCTCTCTCACGCACTGGCTGGGACGACACTACGTCCCGTCTCACCCAGGCCTGCAACAGTCCCACGAACTCTGCTTGCGTGGCTCTAAACTGTACTGCCTGCTTCGCTCCACGCTTTACGCTAGCGCGGCCTTCTACTCATCCTTCCCGCTGCCTCCTCTCGCACGTACTGCCGCCTCGCGCGCGTTGCGCGCAGCTGGCCAGGTGCCACAGCTACTGGTGGCTTCGGATGCCGGTCGACGGAGACGGCGGCTAACCGTGACAACAACGAAACTGAGATAAGTGGGAAAGAAAGCAGTCAGTACGTGATCGAGACTGCGACATATTTAGATGCGGGCGACTACGCATGCGCGGCCAGCAACGCGCGCGGCACGCAAGTCTTTGTGACTGTTTACGTTTCGCCGTAAACCCCCGGATAATGCGCGCAACATCGGACTCATTCTCGGACTTGTCTTCGCGCAGCTTAGCAGTGATTGTCGTCTCTACGTAACAAAAGATTCAACCTCCCCTACGATGCACGAGGAATACTGAATCGAATTGACATGAATACGGATTGATGCAATAAGAACAAGTCGTATTACGTCACATATCTATATTCGAAGGGACAAATATTGCTGACACGATATTACGAAGCGGTCATAAAAATGGAGATTCCCAGTAACAACTATCTACCTGTTTCTATGTAATTAGTGATTACAACCGCGGCGCGCCCCTCATGTGTACTTTGATCGTTTTTACTGATGCTCACACCCGCAAGTTCTGCCTCAAGCAAATAAAAGCAGAAGCATCAAAGCTGCTTGCTGCCAGTAAAGCAGAGTCACCTCACATTGGTATGATCAGGAGTAAATAATAATAGATCTATTTGTATTCACTCCTGGAATGATTACACGGCTTGTACTGCTTGCTAGACTACTTTAAAACCATATAGTTACTGCAATTTACTGCTAATGATATTACTACTAATGATATAAAGAAATACTACTGATACTATGTACTTACAAAAATGCACTGAACATTGACCAACTATAAACACCAATTCGTCTTGGTTTCTGATAGCGTCACTGTATAGGGGTGTAACGATATACCGGTATATCGGTATATTGCAATATATTTTTGAAAACTCTCGATATATCGCGATACAACTTCCGTATATCAATATTTAACGTACGGTGGTATTAACAAGAAATAAATTAATTGACACTGCTCCTTTATGTCTAATATTGCTTTAATGGCTCGAAAATTATGCACTGGCGGGTGTATATATTACGAAATCACAATGCCTGCACGACGATACAGTATTACTGTGTAAGCGACCATGCATTGGAGGCACTGCGTCGGTACTACTTGCGGCGGGCAGAGTGGGCAGACGTGGTGCAGCGAGGCAACGAGCACGGCAACTAGGGGAGTCTATATATAGCCTACTAGCTGCGTGGTACCCGCTGCGCTGGGTAAAATCGTGCTACTAGATTCATACCACTACTAAATAATCGGACACAATAGGAAACATTGGGTAAAATCGACAATAGCAAGTGCACAGATATGAATATTTACATTTCTAGGGCATGGTTGAAAAACTGTTACGTGATGAATTTATGTGCAGCACAACCACAACTTAAACCCCTGGAACATAATAGTATATGGTTGCTAAAATTGAAGAAAGAGTTATTATAACAGCATGTTACGAATGTGGTTGCAGTTTTCATTTGAAAACCTATTGATAACATATGTTTGGTTTATTCTCTGGGGAAATATGTAAAGATCCTGAGTGTGTGGAACTGTTGAGCTGCCGAACGACGGCAATTACGTATGGCCACGTACGTATGGCACGTACGGCACGTCAACAGCATGTAACGAATAGTTGCAAACTTCTATTTAAAGCCTCCTTGATAAAACATGCAGTCTTAAACTCTGAACTGGTCCTGGCTGTGCTACTGTTTTAGTTACTGGTTTTCGGTTCTCATAGCAAACAGCTGATGAAGCGGATTGGCAAAAATCGTAGCCTATCGATTTTTCATGTGTTGCAACAAGTGTACGAATTGATCGGTTTTTTTTTAGGATTTTTCAGTGAGTTGACGGTTATGAACAGCGTTTTTCGTTCTCAGGGAAACATTCACTCTCCTAGCCGCGGTATAAGAATTGGCCCCTGTGAAAATTCCA